TTTAAACCCGTGACCCAATCAAACTTTGTTATTTTTAATTACATTACCTAACAGAATACTACATTGTACTGAATGCTCAGCAACATAGTAAATGACCATATGACCTGTCTTTGAAATACTCATTTGTGCTTAATTGTTAACTGTTTACAACAATGTTTACCACTGAATATATCATTGCTTAGTTAATCTTAAGTTAATTTTAAGCCTGCCCATAATGCTCTGCATACAAGGGGCTTTGGCATGTTACACTTAACCACTGTATTTCCTTGTACTTCTATGTATCATGTTCAAATTAATAAATAAATAAATAAATAAATAAGTTTGATACTGGCCTATAGTTGTTTACATCCATGGGGTCACTACCTTTGTGTATTGGTGTAACCCTTGCTGTCTTGAGTAGTGTCGGGAAAGTGTTAGTTTCGAGTGACTTGTTAAAAAGTAATGAAATATCATGCGAAAGGACATGGGCCGCTCGCTTGTATAATAATGGTGGGACGTGAGATAGATTCCCTGAATTATTTTTAAGTGACTTAATAATCGTGGTGGTTTCAGTGGTTTCAGTAGGTGCAAGATAGAAGGAGTTTGGGAAATTCGCATCTAGGTAATCACTTGCACGGGCATCGGTACCTGGGATTGTACTGGCGAGACTGAATCTTAGGGTTGAGAAGAAGTCATTTAGAAGAAGTCATTTAGTTTGTTAATTGTATTAATAGGATGCAGTGGTGTTTCATCCGGTTTAATCAGGACAATATCCCTAGTTTTTTTTAAGTTTGTGGGTTCCCAGAATCTAAGAGAGTGTTTTCCAGGTCTTTTTTTATATCTCTTCTTGCTTCAATGAATTTGCTGGAGTAGTATAGTTGTTTGGCTTTCTTTATTACTTTGGTGAGGACTCATGAATATTGTTTAAGAATATCTTTGTGTATTAAGCACTGTCTATATTGCTTTTCATATTGGTATTTCTTACCAATGGATCTCAGTATGATGTTAGTTAGCCATGGGCAACCGAGGCGTTTATTCGTGATCTGTTTCGTTTTTATAGGACAATGTTTTTTTGTATAGTCTAAATAATTTATTCAGAAATATGTCTGTCCTATCGTCAGTACCATTATCCTTGGGGAATTCTGTAGGCCAGTCAACCGTCTCTAGGTCTGCTGTGAAATTACTTATCGAGGCCTCGTCATGGAGTCTAAATGAAACTTTGTTGTATTCCAGTGGTGGTTTATTAATATTTGTTAAGAGGAAGGCTGGGTAGTGGTCAGTAGTGCTGTCTGTGATTATCCCTGATTTAAGGGAGGTTAGTATATTGGTTCACATGCTGTTGTTTGCTGACTGGTATCACCTTGTGACGTCACCTCACGTTGTCACCCAATGACATAATTTGTGATGTCACCCAAGACGTCTGCCCGATGTCACCCTGAGCATCTGCCCAACATCACCTCCAGACATCACCCAGTATGTCTGCCTGACGTCACCCTGATACGTCACCCTGGACATCTGCCTGACGTCACCCTGGATATTTGCCCTGACGTCATCTCGCGATGTCACTCCACATCATCCCTCACGATGTTGGGCCTGACATCACACAATGTCACATCGACAGTGTTATAGTTTCACAATGAGCAATTTGTTGCAGTATTGTCGAGAAGGATTGAGAGAAGATATGTCATGTGTTAATTCCTCTCAGTCAGTGTTCTCATACGTTTGTGATTGCTTTAATGTCAATTTTTGTATAGAAAAGCCATGTTGTAACTATATGTGCAGAGCAGGTGTGTGTGCAAGTTTTACGTGTGTCCCCGATTAAGTGGTCTGAGCCCAGATGTGTGTGTAGACCTCAGTATGGTCTGAGCCCAGATCATTATTAACACCCTCGTGTTACACGTCACCATGTTGTGACCAATTGACGACTCACATTAGTCAGTCCAGGTGTCACATTACAAGCGTCTGAGCCCCCATGTACAGAAAGCTATTAAGCTCGCCGCTCGCAGATGCCTTGCCTGACTTGTCCTGCTACGACTCCCCTTTGAGACTTGTTTCATGTCACCTCTTGACCGTTAGAGTGCAGTTATGTGTAAAAAACAAGTCTGAGGATGCTTAGACTAACCTCTGATATGACTCCATCTGTCGAGAGGATAACATCGTCAAGCCACAGTAGCCTGGTCGGCAGGCGACTGACTCCTGTCATATTTTCAGTGAGCAGCCTGCACAAAGATGATATCACTTTGACTGCTAGCCCACTCACTCCAGTTATGGTGTATGCTGCTACGACTCCCACATGATGCACCTGAGTCATTCTATCCATGACGCACTCTCGCCAGCACCACTAAGCTATGCTGTGCATTCCCAGCAGTGACTGCCCAGCAACAGTTGCCAGAAGTCCTGCCCAGTTGCCGAGTACTGACGATGCCTCACTTAAGGGCACCAGCAGGTTGTGCCCCAGGTTGCATGAACCCTGCATGCGACTACTCCAGATGACTGCTTCACCATTCCAGATGAGACCGTACCCAGATACTCCATAACTCAGCAGCAGCGATGTCTCCCGATGTGATGTGTTGCAGTATCTGTCCAGATGCAGGAAGGCGTGCAGTGACGCCCACCGAAGCTCACTGTCTTGGACTACAGTATTTAGCTCACATCTTTTTTTCCTTCCCTTCCTGTAGGAAGTTTTTTTTTTTTCCATGTCCACATGTATATGTATGTTTTTATTCTGTGTTCTGTGCCCTGTTCCTGAGAGAGAGGGACCGAGAGTTTTTTATGGTCAATCTTGGTCGAGGATGTCCATGGGTAGGTGGCCGAGCGATGTATGCCCAGCTGGGTTCATATTTTATGCCATGCTGGTGCTGCCACCTATAGGCCTACCTAGCTCAGCCCACACCACGTTTATCCTGCCTCAAATCCCTAGTTAAGAACGATAATAAATTTGTTGAGTTAGGCATAAGAATTAACAATTGGGCATCTACATTGCAAACTGAATTGTTTGCAATCCTAATAGTGCTAAAGCTAACTTATGACACTGAGCTTGACTCTATCATCATTGCTGAGTCAATGTCATCATTGAAGGCTCTTGGCTCATATAATGACTCCAACAACATGCTCATTGGAGAAGCCAGGTATAGATACTCAAAAATCAGGGACAAAGGGATTAATGCACAATTGCTATAGATCCCATCACACATTGGATTACTCCTTCATGATAAAGTTGATATGTTAGCCAAGAAGAGTACCCAGACGGAGAATGTAGAATATAACTTTGGTATAACTGTGTCTAGCATTAGGAATAATATTAGGAGAGAAGTAAATAACGAAAATGATTGTTATAGGAATGCAGTTAGAAGCCTGAGTAGATCTATAACCCACTATGATAACATGATCGTAGATAAGTATGTTTATGGAGCAACTTGCAATGTGAACAGACTGACTGATATTGTAGTGGCCAGACTTAGGCTTGGTTACAAGTACTTCTGGCAGTTTGGCAGACACACAGTTGATGATCAAACTAAATGCAAATTATGTGATCAGGCATATGGTCACTGTCTTGAACACTATGTGCTTAATTGTCCACTTATAGACAGACAGTATAATAACCTATGTGACATGTCAAGATATCTTATTAATGAAAATAAGATAGCAGATATACTAAGCAAATTTCCTAAATTTGCTTGTAACAGATAAGTGAACTGTAGATATGTAGATATAAATCCATATGTACACCTGTTAACTTTTTTTGGGGCCTAGTTCCTAGGCCTTTTGTGTATCCATATGCTCTTGCGCTACCGTCCACAGGATGGATATGGGGTGAACAATAAACTAGGCACTTCGGAGGTAAAATCTAATCTAAATCTTTCTGGCAGCTGAGCTCGCTCAGTCAACAGGGTCTACTCTGTCACTCTCTCATGGGCATGACCCTCAGGGCCTGGGCAACTTTTCAATTCAATGCAATTCAAGTTTATTCTCTATAATGGTTGCAATGTGGGGTTTACAGGTTTTGGGTATTTTGTGGTTTACATGTTATAAAATACTAATTACAGAGGGGGCCACTAGGACACCTAGCATGGCTAGGCATTTCGAACAGACTTAGATTAATTCTTAACATTAAATCCTTACAGATTATAGTATTAAGGCTAAGTTTTGTTTTGGCACAGTGCAAAGTGTCTATATTTGAGTATCATAGGCAAACTTATGACTAGTTAGGATTTATTATTTTAAGATTAAGATTAGTATTTCTGGGTTTGTAGTCAGTGGGTGAGTGTAATTGTGAACCACCAGGTGGTTATCATGTAGTTAGTTGTCGGGGTGGATCAGGGAGATAAGATGTTTTCTAACTGTAGTTTTGAAAGTGATGAATGTGTCTGCAGTTCTAGAGTTTTCAGGTAGGGTGTTCCAGATTTTAGGTCCTTTGAAATACATTGAATTTTTGTAAAGGTTTAGTCGGACACGGGGAATGTCATAGAGATGTTTGTGTCTGGTGTTATGCCTGTGGATCCTGTCACAACTATCAAGAAAGCGTTTTAGGTCAAGGTTAATATTGGAATTTAAGGTCCTGTAGATATAGATTGCACAGTAGTAAGTGTGGATGTTCTGAACAAGAACCCAAATAAAGTAACGTAGCCTCTGAAGCCTTGTTATTGATCCCCGTTTGCATACCCACCAAATCAATTGTAATATACCTTGAGTGTGTTACCTACAGTGTGTTACCTACAGTGTTACCTAGAGTGTCTTACCTAGAGTGTTACCTAGAGTGTCTTACCTAGAGTGTTACCTAGAGTGTCTTACCTAGAGTGGCTTACCTAGAGTGTTACCTTGAGTGTCTTACCTAGAGTGCCTTACCTAGCGTGTCTTACCTAGAGTGTTACCTAGAGTGTCTTATCTAGAGTGTTTTACCTAGGGTCTTACTAGAGTGTCTTACCTAGAGTGTTTTACCTACAGAACTTTATCTAGATATCTTACATAGAAAACCCTGCATAGAGCACATGAACTAAAATTCTTTATCTGAAGAGCCTTACCTAAAGACATATTGAGAGGGAAGGCGATGGTCGTGAGATGAGATATTCTGGGGTCACCTGGAGTTACTCTGGGTTCACCTTCGGGTCACTCAGGGGTCACACTGTGGTCACTCAAATTCTGTTGAGGATATGTATAAAATTATGTCATTTGGCTGAACTATACACACACACACACACACACACACACACACACACACACACACACAACACACACACACACACACACACACACACAACACATACACACATACACACATACACACATACACACATACACACACACACACACACACACACACACACACACACACACACACACACAGTGGAGGCAGGTACCATATATAGCTTTAAGAAGAGGTATGATAAAGCTCATGGAGCAGGGAAAGAGTGGACCTAGTAGCGTCCAGTGAAGAGGCAAGGCCAGGAGCTATGACTTGACCCCTGCAACCACAATTAAGTGAGTACACACACACCTCAATCCCAACAATTCCACCACAACCAAACTAACCCAAAACAAATAAATAACAAAAAGGCACAATACCGTGACTGGAACGATACACAAATAACCCGCACATAAAAGAGAGAAGCTTACGACGACGTTTCGGTCCGACTTGGACCATTGACAAAGTCACACTAACAGAGGTGGATCAGGAAGGCTATATATAGGCAGGAAGAGGTGGAGGTAGTAGTAGTAGTAGTAGTAGTACAAGAATTGTGTATAATACCGACAGGATGAAATGACACATGCACAACACCCGGGCATCCCCACCGTAGACGTTTCGCCATCCAGCCAGCCACTGGATGGCGAAACGTCCGCAACAAAGACAACCAGACGCCGCACATGTGTCTTAATTTCATCAGTAGATGTAGTAGAAGAAGAAGAGGTAGTAGTAGTGGTAGTGGTAGAAGTGGGAAATAAGGAAGACGAGCCAGTCAAATACAAAGGAAGGGGAGCACTGCAAGAGAGCTAGAAACCCACAGAGGGAGAGCAAGCGCACAGAGGTGCGTGAAAGGGGAAGTGGTGAAATAAAATAAATGAAGAAGGAACAGAAACACGAGACAGGAGAGAGAAAGACAACCCAGAGGAGAAAAGGAGAGAGGAAAGGGGAAGAGGAAGAAGAAAAAGAAGAAGAAGAAGAAGAAGAAGAAGAAGAAGAAGAAGAAGAAGAAGAAGAAGAAGAAATGAGGATTCAGGTTAAGTAACCTGAATCCTCATTTTTTTTTCTTCTTCTTCTTCTTCTTCTTCTTTTTCTTCTTCCTCTTCCTAGACGGCCGTACCATGAGAATCAAATTCCAAGGCTGTTACTCTGACTACTTCACACTAAATGCTGGAGTACCCCAGGGATCTGTCCTCTCCCCTACCCTCTACATTTTATACACTAACGACATTCCAACACCTGTATACCAAAACTCCATCACACTAGCCTATGCAGACGACATTACACAACTTATCACCCATGCCAATATAGATACACTCACACAAAACACAAAATGAGGTCGACAGGATAGCCATCTGGGAACAAAAATGGAGGATCAAAACCAATGCAGCTAAATCCAGCATTACATATTTTAACTACAGGAAACGTGATCCTCCATTACCTGTCGAGCTCAGAACAGCTGACATCCGCACTTACTTCCCTATCACACAATCTGTCACTGTCCTTGGCGTTAATCTTGACTACCTTCTTCGTTTACATGGACACATTCACTCAAGGCATGCAATAGATAGTAAGGCCCTTGCGGGCCTCTACAAGCTGAAACATGCCTCTCAACGCACCAAACTACACCTCTACAAATCCCTAATACGTCCTCTGATAACTTACTTTCCTCTAGCCCTCTCTCTTGCAGCAAAAACAAACTTACTTAAACTGCAGCGTGTCCAGAACAAGGCGCTGCGCTGGGTGCTTGATGTCAGATGGGAGGAGTTCGCCACAAGCGAGTCTCTCCATGCCCAGTTAGACATCCCTGCGCTGAATCTGTGCTGGAAGAGGCTCAGTGACAGACAGATAGACAAACTTGAGACACGACATGACTACTGGACCTCTCTCCTTGACGAAGACATTCGAAGACCCACAAACCAACACAACCTTTTCTACTCCTTGCATGATCCTGCTCCTAACCCTACTTACAAATAACCTCGGATCCGCTGACAGGTACCTTCTATGACAGGTACCATTCTCTGACCCACGTTTGCCTTAGCATTTTTGGGTTAAGACATGGCCCAGTTCTACACTCCTCTCTAGCCCTAAACGTCGCATGTCCCTTCCTCCTCGCTCACCCCACTGGAGTCCTAACAGAAGAGCCTAAATTTCTCTTCTCAATATCTGTCCCACGATCGCCTTCGCTGCTGGGTTAAGCCCTGGCTCATTTTCTACGACTAAGAACACTCCTCTCCTGCACTATTCTTCGTCTGTCCCGTCTTCCCCGCTCATCCCATTTGGGATCTTACCTGAACTTTCGTTCGTTCGTTCGTACCTCTGTTAGTGTGACTTTGTCAATGGTCCAAGTCGGACCGAAACGTAGTCGTAAGCTTCTCTCTTTTATGTGCGGGTTATTTGTGTAACCCAAAACAACCCACACTCTACACCCACATCATTCTCCCTCACCACAAACTCCACATTCACAGCACTCTCCTATAGTATCTTGCCAGGTCTCCCACTACCCCCAGCTTCCCCCAGAACACAGTATTGCAAAAGAAGATGAAGGTATGAAACACCAATGCAGATGAAACGACAAATAAATGTAAGGAGTGGCTTGAAAGAATCATGGAGGCATCCCCAAACATCACAGTGCTCACAGAAATAAAGCTCACAGGGATGATAACAGATGTGATCTTTCCATCCAGATATCAGACCCTGAGGAAAGTTAGAGGGAGCAGAATAATTGCACTGCTCATCAAAAACCAGTGGAGTTTTGAGGAAACGGAAGGAATGGACAGAAAGAAGCAAGGGAACACTTCAGACTAGGGTCCCAAGGTGATGATAGCAGTGATGTACAACCTGCCACAGAATAGCAGGAGGACAAGACAAGAATATTATGAGAGCAACAGAGCAATGGTCGACACACTAGCTGAAGTGGCCAGAAAGGCCCATGTGGGTAGGGCAGAGTTATTAGTTGTGGTTGATTTCAAACGCAAGGAGATTGACTTTGAAAACCTGAAGCCACATGAGGGAGCAAAAACGTAGAGACCTAAGATGATGGAGGTAGTACTGGAAAACCTCATGCATCATCATGTTAGGGACACTACCAGAGAGAGAGAGAGAGAAGAGGATGAACCAGCAAGGCTGGATCTCATATTCACCTTGAATAGTTCAGAGAGTGAGGACATTACATATGAAAGGCCTCTCGGAGCTAGTGATCACTTGGTCCTGAGCTTTGAATACATTGTAGAGTTATAAGAAGAGAGTGAAGCAGTACGTGCAGAACAGGAAACGCCAAACTACAAAAAAAGGGATTACACAGCCATGAGGAATTTCCTGCATGAGGTACAGTGGAAAAGAGAACTGGTGGGAAAAACAGTAAATTAAATTTATTTATTTTTTATTTATTTATTTTTTATTTGGACATGTACATAGTTGTACAAAGAAATATAATGATTGGGTGTACATGCTAAAAGCGCCTTGTATGCAGAGCATTATGGGCAGCTTAAAATTAACTTAAGATTAACTAAGCAATGATATATTCAGTGGTAAAAATTACAGTAAACAAATTACAACATGAAGTACAAATGATTATTTCAAATAAGAAACATTAAAGTTATACAAATTTATAGCATAACAATGTATAATATAATAGAATCAGATGGAGTAAAATCAATAATTTGTAGCGCAGAAACAGGTCATATGGTCACTAGATGAGTTACTGTACATTGTAGCGCAGAAACAGGTCATATGGTCACTAGATGAGTTACTGTACATTGTAGCGCAGAAACAGGTCATATGGTCACTAGATGAGTTACTGTACATTGTAGCGCAGAAACAGGTATATGGTCACTAGATGAGTTACTGTACATTGTAGCGCAGAAACAGGTCATATGGTCACTAGATGAGTTACTGTACATTCAAGAGAATGGAGTATTATATTAGGTAATGTAATTAAAAAAACATAGTTTGATAGGGTCACAGGTTATACATTTATGAGATTCAGTTATTCAGTATTTATTTAGTTGTGGGCGAGTAAGTGGTTTTTAAGAAGAATCTTGAATTGATAAACAGACAGTATTTCTTTTATATTCACAGGTAATGAATTCCAGATTTTTGGGCCTTTTATGTGCAATTGAGTTTTTACATAGTGTGAGATGGACACGAGGAACATCAAAGAGTGATCTATGTCTTGTGTTATGGTCATATGTTTTGTTGAGGTTGGTAAGGAGAAGTTTGAGGGGAGGGTTTATATCCGAGTTTAGTGTTCTATGTATGTAGTAGGCACAATGGTGGAATGATGGAATACGTGACCACAAAATGCAAGGAGGCAGAGGAGAGCTTCCTACCCAAGGGCAACAGAAACTGAGAAGACCAGAACGAGCCCTTGATTCAATGAAAGGTATAGAGAGGCCAAAACTAAGTGTGCTAGAGAATGGAAAAAGTACAGAAGACAAATGACCCAAGAGAATAAAGAGATTAACCGAAGAGCCAGAAACGAATATACATGGACAAGGAGGGAGGCCCAGTGGCAATACGAGAATGACATACCAACGAAAGTCAAATCTGACCCAAAGCTGTTTTACAGCAACATCAGGAGAAAAACGACAGTCAAGAACCAGGTAATTAGGCAGAGGAAGGAGAGAGGGAGGATCATAAGAAATGACACGGTAGGGACGAACTCAAAATGAGATTTAAGGAAGTATTTTCAGTGGAGACAGAAAGGGCTCCAGCAAACTGGGATGGAAGGATACACCAACAAGTGCTGGACATACTATACACAACTGAGGAGGAAGTGAATAGACTGCTAAGTGAGCTAGATACCTCAAGGGTGGAGGAACAGGACAACATCTCTCCATGGGTCCTGAGAGAGGGAGCAGAAGCACTGTGTGTGCCACTAACAACAATCATCAATTCAATTCAATTCAAAGTTTATTCTCTATAAGGATTACAATGCTGAGTTTACAGAATTTGGTTA